TGAAAAAAGAAGGAGGAAAAAAATTTGTGTGAGTGAGAGAGAGAGAGAGATAGATAGAGGGGGGGAGAGAATAAAGTAGAAGGAGAAAGAAGAGAATAAAATAATGTTTAACTTGGTACTTATAAATACTTTCACACGTAACAGGTATAATAGGTTCATGGAATATGGACAAACCATAGACGAGTGTCTTAGTCGTATCGTCGCGTTTCATCAATTTAGTTTTAGTTTTTTTTTTTTTTTTTTAGTGTAAACGAACTACAAATTTTTTGTTTTTTTAATATGACGGGTAACGAGAAATAATTGAATCTACTTCCACGTTTTTTTTTGCTTTGTTTTCTTACGGTAATGATTTAGTTAAAAAAAAATAGACACGCGATTGTTATTTACATAAATAAAATTAAAAAAAAAAAAACGCCGGTAAATAATACTACGTAAGCCCACGTGGTTTATTATTATTTATTATTATTATTACTACATTAAATTATTAAAATTAATAATAATAATAATTATAAAAAATTAATTCTGATAACGAGAGTGATAAGAAATTTTTTTTTTATTATTACCGATCGATGACATGTTAAGTAAATTTGCATGCAAGAAATGAAAACTTCGGTAATTGAACTGCATAAATAAATAAATAATTACGTAATAAAAATGTATTAAGAAAAAAATTAGTAATAATAATAACGATGATGATAATAATAATAATAATGAAAAAAGTTGAAATTTGTTTTTTTTTCTTTTTTTTTTTCGCACGTTTTCACGTTGTAAAAAACTTTCACTTTAAGCAAAAGATTTTAATTTTTTAAAATTTTTTTAACATAAAATAAATAAATAATTTTATGTATTATTTATTTATTTATTATTAATGTATAAAATTTTATTTTATAAAAAAAAAAAAATTAATAAGTAAATAATAAATAACGTTTTGATGGGATAAAAATGAAAAGATTGCGTTAAAAAATTTCGTTTTTTTTTTATTTTTTATTTTATTATTATTTGCAATAATTTTTTTTTATTACTCTTTATTACTTTTTATTACTCTTATTTACTTTTTATTTTATAAATATTATCAATTGTAATTTATTACTCGTAAAAAAAATTATTCGGACGTGAGTAAAACACACAACAAAAATTTTTTAAAAACGAAACGATTTTGAGAAGTAATAATAATAATATTAAAAAAATATTTTGAACGAAATATTAAACAAAAATTACCGGTAACAAAAGGTAATAATTTCAATTAATTAATAACTACACGACTTAAAAAAATTATTAATAATTTTTTATTACTTCCAAATGAACGAGAAAAAAAATTCGGTAATTTTTCGTTTTATTTTTATTCATATTCCCCCCAAAAAAAATTACGTAATTGGTTTATTTAAAAAAAAAAAAAGGAGTAATAGAAAAGTAATAAAAAAATCGTTAAAAATTCATTAAGAATTTAACTAAAAAAAAATTTAAACGAAAAATTACGTAATAATAAAATTCGTTAAGGGAAAAAAATTTCAGTGCGTTTTACTTACTACATTTTTACCACCCCTTTAATATTTTAGTTATTAAAAAAAATTATTCCGGAATAAATTTCATCGGTTAAAATTACTAAACTCGTATAAGTAATAATAATAATAATAATAAAAAGAGAGTGAGAGAGTGTGAGAGAGAGAGAAAAAAAAATTGTTTGAGCGTTCAGGAAATACTTTCATTTATTATAAATTGTTGTTTAACGATGTTCGTAACCGGATTTGTTTTACAACGGTGTTAGTGACTTTGAAATTTTAATTACAAACAGTAATAATAATAATAAAAAGTGGTAAAACAACATTTACGTTAATCGAAAGAGAAAAAAAATTACCCGAAAATCGGGGGGCGGGGGGTAAAATAAATTTGAGTGACGTTTCATGTTATTGTTGCGACAAAACGTCATTTATTTTTATTACAATAAATTATTATTATCCCTTAAATTCATCCCTTTGGGTTAAAACGCGTAAATTCCCGCCATTTTGTATCCTTGAAATTTTATTACTAAACACTTAAATAATAATAATAATAATGTATTTTTTCTACTTCCATTTTAAGATATACATCGATA